ACTACTTCTAATCTTCCCAAGTATCAGCCATTAATTCACCCAGGTCCCCAGATACTGCTCTTCCACACCAAGGAATTCTAACAATAAAAACTAAACAACCACAGTGATGTAGCCCCAGTGAGAATTTATGATGTTTTAAGTGCCATGCTAGAAAAAAATGAAAGTCTCTGCTCTCATGGAGTTTACATTCTATGAGAAATAATATGTACACATAAGTAAATTCAAGGCAATTACAAGATAATGGAGGGGGAAGAGACGCTACAGAGGCAGCTGGAGAAGGTGGGAAAAGGGGAAAGGAATAAGCATTTATATAGCACCAATTATGTACTAACTGGGGTAAGCTAGGTGATACAGTAAATGGAGCACCAGGCCCAGAATCAGGAATACTCACATTCAAATCCAACCTCAGACACTAACTGTGTGACCCTGGGCAAGTCACTTAATCCTGCTAGAATGTGGTGAATGGAAGGAAAGGGGAAAGAAAGAGGAAGGAAGAACAGCATGAAGGACAGTTTAGCTGAGCTACAGACAATGTGAAGAGGAGGAATGTGTAATAACTACAGAAAGGTAGGTTTGAACCAGACTGTGAAGGGCTTTAAAGTCTGCATTAGATCCTAGAGGCAATAGGGAGCCACTGGAACTAATTGAGAGTGACATGGTCAGATGCGTTTTGGGAACATCACACTGACAGTTACACAGGGGATAGACTGAAGAGGGGAGAGGTTTCTGGCAGAGTCCATTTAGGAGGCTATTTCAATAATCCAAGCTAGAGATGACAGAGGTCTTAACTGGGGGAGAAGGAGGGGTATCTGTGTCAGTAGAGAGAAGGGGACAGATGCCAGGGATGCTGTAAAGGCAGAATCAAGAAGACTTAGCAATTAGAGATGCGGAGTAAAGGAAAGTGAGGAGTCAAGGATGACATAACTGAAGTTATAAACTGGGTAACAAGGGAAGTGAAGAAAGGTTTGTTTAGGGAGAAAGACAGTATGTTCTGTTTTGGATACGCATTTGAGATGCCCAAGAACACTTAGTCTAAAATGTCTAACAGGCAGCTTGTAACACAGGACTGGAACTTCAGATAGAGATCAGGGCTGTATATATAAGACGTAGGAGTCTTCTGCATAAAGAAAATAATTTTAATTTACTTATTCAGTGCAATACTAATCAAATTACCAAAGAATTATTTTACAGAGCTAGAAAAAATAACAAAATAACAAAAGAAGATAATTGAATGCACAACAAAAATATTCATAAACTCCTCAAAACAAATCCATACAGTTCTGAGGGATAATGTAGGGGCAGCTAGATGGCACAGTGGATAGAGCACTGGCCCTGGATTCAGAGGACTTGAGTTCAAATGTGGCCTCAGACACATAACACTTACTAGCTGTGTGACCCTAGGCAAGTCACTTAACCCCTTACCTACCCAAAAGAAAAAAGAAAAAGAAAAAAAAAGAGGGATAATGTAGGCAGCTAGGTGATACATATGTACAGTGCTGGATATGAAGTAAAGAAGATGCGAGTTCAAATCTGATCTCAGATATTTACTGGCCATTTGATCCTGAGCAAGTCATTAACCTCTGTTTGCCTCAGTTTCCTCATTTATAAAATGAGGATAATAATAGCAACTTCCTTCCAGCATTGTGTGAGGATAAAATGAGATATCTGTAAAGCACTCTGCAAACCTTGAATAAGCTCTGTATAAATGCTAGTTATTATTATTATTAATGTTTTAATTTTATTATTCTTAATTATAATATCTCACTATCTAAGCACCAGGTAAAAGAACTATAGTATTGGAAGACTTCATAATCTTCAAAACCTGAGAGACTACGTTAAAAAAAAAAATCACTCATGCCAAAAACCACAATGCTATAGGCAAAATTTTCAATTACCATCTCCATTCAAGTGAGTAGTACATAAGAACAGCAAATATCCAACCAGTGAGTTAGATTTGCTGGGAGCAAGTTCTTTCCAGGCTACAAATTAAGGTGGAACATAAAGCAGTTTCCTTATGGCTCAGTCAAGGCTCTGCCAAACTAGGTTTTTGGTTTCAGTGGGTGCATAACATTCACCTTCTCTGCTTGGGTACACCACCTATTTCAGAAGAAGAAACCTGGTTCTTCATTCATATATAAAACTATTTATCATTTAATTGTTTCTTAGGCTAATGGAAAAGCGTTTTAGCAAGAATAAAAATTTTAAATAGTTGTTTTAAGGAAATATCAATAATAGATCCTTGCATGTGGCACAAGCCATTTGCCCTATCAATACAAATGAAAAAAAAATAGTAAAAATACTGAACATGTAAAACATACGATTCTGAACAAATATAAAATTTAGCATTTCAAAATACAAGAAACCGGAGGTTTTAGAAAAATATAACAGAAGGCTGAATCTCAATTAGCCTGGGAGAGAGTACTGTTTTATAGAAGCAGCACTATGCTAAGCTGTCTTTTGAGGTAGAAAACCAGTACAGAGTAAAAGAATGGTGTGATAGCATCAGAATAACAATGAAACAACGAGCTTGGATTTAGCTGGAAAAAGAAAGGCTGAGTGGACTGATGACCATGAAATCAGGTGTTAGTTTTTTTAATTTATTAATCCACAAAGTTTAATAAGCTCTGAATACCTCAGTAAATCAACTTTCTGATTAAGTAACTCATAACATTTAGTTTGATATTTAAAAACTACTTAAAATTTAAGTCAGAGAAGAAAAAAGTATAATCTTTTACTGTTGTACAGTGTAACTATTTGGGAAACATGTGACTCCTTTGAGTTTAAGGTAAGTCATGTTAAAATACTGATTATTAATAAACTGTTATTATGAACATTAATAATTAGTTTATTAATACATTAGTATTTCTTTGGTACAGAATATTTCATGTAGTAACTGATTTTACATATGCAACCCAGACAGTGGTCAAGTGGTACCAAAAAAAATGTCCTGTGACAAGTCAGAACACACCCCAACGAGGCAACTGCTAAGAAAGAACATAGTGCAGCGTTCCTAAGTATCAGTAAACATCAAGTGCTAGTGATTATGATGAAGACTGTGAGGAAATGGTTTTGCTGCTTCTCAGAAGTCTGTCCCTGGAACAGAAAGAAAATGGGTGTGATGCTTGCAAACACTTGTCTGGAACAGCCAACACTTCCAAGGCTGAAATCACCTCAAGGATAAGTGAAATGAATCATATTTTAGAGAAAAGACAAGGAGATGGCTCTGGAAACCATTTGGTGCCTCTAGCACTTGAATGGCTTATGCGGGGAATTTTAAAAGCCATTTCAATTTATTATTTATTTTTAGCATTCTTTTCTTTTTAAATTTTGAGTTCCAAATTCTCTCCTTCCCTCTCACATCTCCCCCACCCACTGAGAAGGCAAGTAATATATCAATTATATATGTGAAATCACACATGCAAAACATCTTTCCATATTAGCCACCTTGAAAAAAAAAACACGAGAAAAATAAAGGAAGAAAATTATACTTCAATTTGAACTCAGAGTTCATCAGTTCTCTCTCTGGAGGCACTTTGTTTTGTTTTGTTTTGTTTTTTATCATTAGTCCTTTGGAACTGTCTTGGATCACTGTATTGATCAGAGTAGCCAAGCTTTTCACAGATCATCGCTATAACGTTGCTGTTACTGTGCACAATGATCTCATTTTATTTTGCATCACTTCATAAGTCTTCCCCGGTTTTCCTGAAACCAAACCTCTCATCATTTCTCATAGCACAATTGTATTCCATCATAATCATATGCCACAACTTGTTCTACCATCCCCTAATTAATATGCATTCCCTTAATTTCCAACTTTCTGCCACCACAAAAAGAACTACCGTATTTTTGTACATATAAGTCCTTTTCCTTCTTCTTTTATCTCTTTGGGGTACAAACCTAGTAGCAGTACTGATGGGCCAAAGGGCAGCTCTACAATCCTTCGAGCATAGTTCCAGATTGTTCTCCAGAATGGCTGAATCAGTTCACTATCCCACCAGCAGCAAGTACACATTAGTGTACTTGTTTTTCCCTCATTTCCTCTAGAATTTGTCATTTCTGATAGGTGTAAAATGGTACCTCAGAGTTGTTTTAATTTCCATTTCTCTAATCGATAGTGATTTGGAGCACTTCTTCATATGACTATACATAGCTTTGACTTCTTCTTTTGAAAACTGCCTGTTTATATCCATTGACCATTTATCAATTGGGGAAAGGCTTTTATTTTTATGAATTTGACTCAATTCTATACTCAGTATATATTTGAGAAATTGGGCCTTTATCAGAGAAATGTGCTATAAAAAATTTTTAATACTACTTCATTGTCTATAGTACACTTTTTAGCATAATATAGTTTCCATGATTAGCTCTTTTAACTAGGTCTATTTTTGCTTTTGCTTTGTCTGAGACCAAGATTGCTACCCCTGCCCTTTTTACTTCAGCTGAACCATATCAGCTTCTGCTTCAGCCCTTTAATTTTACTCTGTATGCTGATAAAGGGAATTTAAGACAAAAATCACATTAAACACAGGGCAATGTGTCTACTATAGCTAGTGTTTAGTATAGGAAACAGAGGCTAATGGATAAAAATTCCAAATAGTAATATTATTTAATGAAGTAAAGACGTTAGCCTTCACAGCAGTCCCTGTTAAGACTATCTGTAGTTATGAAAAGCTTTCAAATTTAATTTTCATTTTAGTCTGAAATACTAAAATAACTAGAGCCAGAATAATTTTAAAAGGATTGCAAGCACCCCAAATCAGTCTGGTTGCTTGGTTAGTTGTTGTCCTTCGTACTTGAAGGGACCAAAATGACATCAGTATGTGAGAGTCAAGTTTCAGTGTGTCCAACCGTGGCTGATCAAACCAATGAGCTTGGAATATTCTACCACAGGTCGGGCACAATTAGCACATATGAATATTTGGGATGGAGTCTCTAAATTTTGTGCATCTTGCATTTCTTTTGAGTTATTTCAATTCTGCCTTGTTCACAGAGCACAGCACCTTTTCTGATGTGGCATGCCATGCTGAGTGGTCCCGGTCCTGTGCTAGTGTCTCCCATGTCACACAATCAATTCCAAAATTCTTAAAAGAGATCTTCAGTGTCCTTGTACCGCTTCTTCTGACCACCATGTGAACCTTTGCCCTGTGTGAGTTCTCCATAAAACAGTCTTTTTGGCAAGCATACGTTTTGCATTCAAACGGAGCCCATCAGAGTTGCACTCTCTGAAGTAGAATCTGCATGCCTGGCAGTTTAGTTTGAGGAAGGACCTCAATGTTCAGTAGCTTATCCTGCCAGGTGATCTTCTGAATCTTCCTAAGACAATTCAAATGGAAGCAATTCAGTTTCCTGGCATGGCACTGGTATACTGTCCAGGTCTACAATTCCACAGAGAGAAGTACATTAGCATATAAGAAATTTAAGATGACTGCCATTTAACCTAAGGCAAGTAATTTCACCTCTCTAGATCTCAGTTTCCTCATCTGTAATACAGGAATAACAACATCTGCCCTACCTACTACTTCACAAGGGCATTGGGAAGGTTAAATATGAAGTAATGTAGAAATACTTAAAACCTTACAGGAAGATAAGGGGTTGGTACTGACTGACCTTACGATATTCTTCTTTTTAGTGACCTAACAAAACCACTAACATTTATTTTTATTAAGTATTTTAAAAGGATAAAGTTTTTTACTTAATAGACTCAGTTCACCAAGTCTGAATAAACATCAAACAAACTGGATCCCTGGCAAGGATAAAGTACAAAGGATACATGCTAAGTCAATAGACTAGCCAATATTTGTACTAAGAGGATCAATATGAAAAGAGGAATTAAACATTAAAGAAATAACAAAAACTAAGTGCTAGAAAAATTAATTGTATCTTTAACTGAAATAGTGATAAATTCTAAACAGAACTCAGTAGCACTAACATAGCCTTAGCTGGCCAGTCAATTTATAACAGCCTATCAAAGTATATTTATATATATAACAGATCTTATCTATATGTATGTTATATGTATTTATATTATTACATTTATATTATATATTATTTCTATGTAGCAGATCTTAACTGATCATAATCTGTTGTCATTCTGCTTCTCCTCCTGCCTTACAATTCCTGTTCTTCATCCTCAGCTTGACCTCCAATACCTACACTCTTCCCAGGCCATCACCTTACAATGACTACACTCTCTTCCCTTTCCCATCCTGACCTTGTCGAATCAGTTCAACTCAACATTGTCCTCTTCTAGAGTCCCCTGCCTCTTTACATTCTTGAAGATCTGGCCCTTCCAAACCCCAACCTTGCTTGAATCACTCCCACCATCTACTTACTCCCTTCCCTCCTACTCATGTACCACTGAACAAAAATGAAGAAATGCAGTTCATTGCGTCCACTAAAAGTTTATGTTACGGGCAGCTAGGTGGTGCACCAGCCCTGAAGTCAGGAGGACCTGAGTTCAAATGTGGCCTCAGATCAAACACTTGACACTTTACTAGCTGTGTGACTCTGGGCAAGTCACTTAACCCTAATTGCCAAAAAAAAAAAAAAAGATTTATATTACACAATCTTAACCGGCCTTCAATGGAGCAAGGGAATGAATGCTTTTAGATCTCCCTAACTGACTCATACCACTCCTCACAGATGCGTTTCTAAAATTTTTCACTCCTCCTACAGCTCCCCGTTCACCTCTATAGTCTCAGCTGAGAACTTTGCCTCATATTTCACTGAAAAAAAGGGAGGCTACTCTCATTTGTCAGGAGTTCACTCTTCTCCCCTTTCCTCATGTCTCATCATTCTGATGCCTACTGCACTATTTCCTCCTTCACTCATATTTCATGTGAAGAAGTGGCCCTTCTCCTTGCCAAGGGATCCCATTTCATCAGCTTGCCCCCTCTCTCATTCCTGCTGTTCCATTAATCTTCAATTATTCCCTGTCTACAGACTTCTTTCCTACTGATTTCACACATTTCTGCCTCCCCCATCCTCAAAAATCCCTTTCTTCTTCTATCCATTCCCATCTCTCCTCCCCTTTGTGCTTAAACTCCTTGAGAAGGCTGTCTACAATAGATGCCTCTGCTTCCTTTCTTGTCACTCTTAACTCTGCAGTCTGGCTTGTGACCTCACCATTCAACTGAAATTGCTCTCTCCCAAAATTACCATTGGGTCTCTTATCAGAGAAACTTGCTACAAAGATTTCTTTCGCCAGGCCCTGCCTCCACCCACCCTCCTCATTTTCCTGCTTCTCTTCCAATTTTAGCTGAATTAATTTTGTTTGTACAAAAACTTATTTTTATGTAATTGAAATTGTCAACTTTATTTCCTATGAATATTTCTATCTCTTGTTTGGTCATGAACTCTTCCCCTATCCCATCTGACAGTTAATTTTTTCCATGCTTCACTAATTTGCCTATGGTGTCACTTTTTTATGTCTAAATCATGTACCCATCAAGCTTATCTTGGTTTATGGTGTAAGATAACATTCTGTACATAGTTTCTGCCAGATTACTTTCCAGTTTTCCCAACAGGTTTTGTCAAATGGTAAATTCTCCTTACTTTCCAGTTTTCCCAACAGGTTTTGTCAAATGGTAAATTCTCCTTTCCAGTCCTCTTACACCATACTCCATTCCATGTATTCTGCAATCCAGTGATCCTAGCTTCCTTGTTGTCCTTCCCATACAACACTCCAGTTAGTGATTTTGAGAGTTTTCACTGACTGTCCCAATCCCTAAAATGATCTCCTTCTCATCTCTGCCTCCTGGCTTCCTTCAAGCTTCAACTAAAGTCCCACATTCTGCAAGAAACTTTTTCTAGTCCTCCTGATTCTTGGTGCCCTCCTTCTGTTGTTTATCTCCCCTTTAATCTGCATATATCTTATTTGTACATAGCTGTTTGCATATTTCCTTCCCATTAGACTGTGAGCACCTTGGGAGCAGGGACTATTTCTTTGCCTGTCTTTGTATTCCCAGCACATAGGAAGAAGGGAAGGAAGGAAGGGAGAAATGGAGAGAGGGAGGGAAAGGAAAAAAAAAAGATGCTCTAATCTGTGCTCTGAGTACACCAGGGCTCTATTTGGAGGTGAATAGCAAGTTTCATCATGAGTCCTTTGGAATCATTGTATTAAGTTACAAGTCTTTCAAAGTTGATTAGCTTTATAATATTGTATAAATTGTTCTCCTGGTTCTGCTCACTTCACTTTGTATCAGTTCATACAAGTCTTTTCAGGTTTTTCTGAAACCATCCCCTTCATAATTTCCTCCAGCACAATTATATTCCATTGCATTCCTGTATCATTAACTTCTTCAGCCATTCCCTAACTGATGGGCATCCCTCAGTATCCTATTTTTTGCCACCACAAAAAGAACATAGTAGGCATTTAATAAATGCTACTTAACTAACTAGCTCAAGAAGCTTTATAGTATTAATATCAGAAACTAGTTTCTCCATTCAACTGAACAAATATATTGCACATAGAACATTGCATTAGGTCCTGATAGAATTACAATGATGAAAAATCACATGAAAAACTATGTTACAAAATGATCAATGTTAAGTACAACATACAATCAATTGTTTTTGCTAAACCATCTTTCTTTGTTACAACATACACTTTAGAAAAATCATCTTGGGGGCAGCTAGGTGGCACAGTGGATGGAGCTCCCGCCTTGGAGTCAGGAGGACCTGAGCCCAAATCTGGCCTCACACACTTAACACTTACTAGCTGTGTGACCCTGGGCAAGTGATTTAACCCCAACTGCCTCACCAAAAAGCACAAAACAAACAAAAAACATCTTAACATTTAAGTGAAGGATGAATTGAAGTGGGCAAAGATCTGAGCCAGGGAGATCACTTAGGAGCTAACTGCAAAAGTCTAGGAGAGGGGTAAAGAGGGCCTGTAATAAAGTTGTAGCTGTATGGGTAGAAAGAAGGGGACATATAAGAGAGGTACTATGAAAAAAAAAAAGATACTGTGAAAACAGAAACGAGACTTGGCAACTGATTATATTATGACTGAGTAGAGAGGATGATCTCAAGGTTCCAATCCTGGATGACCAGAAGAATGGTGGTATCACTGAGAGTAACAAAGACGTTGAGAAAAGGTGAGGGTAGGGGACTGGATGCAGTGGAGATAATGAGCTCCGTTCTGGACATGTTGAGTTTGAGATGCCTTCTGTACATCTAATTAGAGACATCCAAACAGCAGGTCATGCTATGAGACTAGAGCTCAGTAGAGAGGCTAAGGCTAGGTATCTCGATTTGAGAATCACCTGCACAGAAATGATAATTCAATCCATGAGAGCTAATGAGATCACCAAAGGAGAAAAAACAGCAAAAAAGAGAACAAGGTTGAGGACAGAGCCGTGGGCAATCCTCAGTTAATCAGCATGACATGGTTGAAGAATTAGGAAAGAGCAATGTCACAAAAACCTAAAGATGAAAGGATGAAAAAGTGATCAACATTGTCAAATGCTAACAAGGTCAAGAAGCATCAGTATTAAATGCTGGAGGAGATGTGAGAAAATTGGGACACTAATGCATTGCTGGTGGAGTTGTGAACTGATGCAACCATTCTGGAGAGCAATTTGGAACTATGCCCAAAGGACAATCAAACTCCCCAAAGGCTGCCTTTGCCTTTCTTTCTATCCCCAGCACTTAGCACAGTGCCTGGCACACTGTATGCACTTAAATGTTTACCAACTGACTGACTAGTCCTACAAGCAACAGGAAAGAAGCACATGAACAGAGAGGGACTAAAAATTAGAGTGAAGATGACTGGGGGTAGGAGGAGGGAAGACAGGGCAATTTCTTCATCCAAGACCAGAGTGAAGGAGATATAGCAGAGTAAGATGTCTGAAAGCCACCAGATGAGCAGGAGGGAAAAAGAGAAGTTCTCAGTTACTAGTCTTAACTTTTTTGGTGAAATATGAATTGAGATCCTCAGCTGAGAGAGTGGAGGAATGGGTACTAGGGAAGGCATATGAGAGACATGAAGAGTGAACCAATTAGGGAGGAACAAAATATCTGCCCAGCTGTTGTAAGGGTTCAGCTCCATGGACATACACACCTCACTGAAAAACAATTTTCTACTTGACATTATTTAAAAATAAAGTGTGGGGGGAAAAAAACAAAAGCTTAAATTGTGCATAACACACTGCAGAGTGAAAGCTGTCCCCAGAGCTCCA